TTTGCATATCCGGCCCAGCTAATTGGTCATGCGATATGAATACCGATGGGAATTGTCCCTATTCTCAGCACCGCCCAGCCCAGCCCAGTCCACCGAAGCCCATTCTGGTTCTCATCCTGCCCCGTCTCGTTCCGTCCCGTTGCAATTCATTTCCGCTCAAATTGCAAATTCAATAACGACGACAATGGTCGCTGCTACTTTTGCCTGATGCTGCTGACTTGCTGACGACACCAACACTGCATAATTTGTTTGCCATGCCCCATCCTCCCCGAGGCACCCTACCATATGGATAGTAGGAGTAGAGGACTGTCATTTTCATGTCAATAGATGTCATTTTCATGCGCACAAATCAACGGATATTGAGCACTGACAATTTCCGCCCTACACAAATTCTTTTGCAAAACTTTTATTCAGTCAGTTAGTTATTTAGTCAAACAGTTCGACAGTCAGTCAGTCAGTTAGTTAGTCATTCGAGCCACTGGCACAAGTAGTCATGTCTTGGCAGCTACTGCCTCCTACCAGTTTTCCTAGCGTAGGCGTGCCATATACCCCAATGTTGGCTGCAACAACTACTGTGGCAGTTGACAGCAGCCAAGAAGAAATGGATGGAGATGGAACATCGCTAATTGTAATTAGAAACACTTGTTGATTGCAACGCACACAAATCAGATGCTTTTTAAGCCAAATGAAATATATGAAATGAAAGGAAGCTGTTGTAATTATGCTCAGAACCTATTGCAAAATGGTTGTGCAAGAATATGTAGCTGGCAGATGTAACCAATTCTAGCCCCATAAATATAGATAAATTCGTAGTAAGGATCAACTTCAAAAGTTGGCAAGATTTTCATCAAAATCGGTAGCGAAGTTAATTTAATGAATTCGTCCCAGTTCGTGGAAGTAGTCAACTTTTTGGCATTGCCAATATTATTCGGTACTGCTTCGGATAGTAGATTAGCGATTCTAGATACAAGGTTCTCTTCGAATATATGTCTAGATACTCATCTTATTGGCTGAGATGTATCCTGAACTGTCCTTGTTGTCTTTGTGTTTCGCATATCTCTAGAGCTTATTTTCTGCATAAATAAATGTTGGATAAGGTCCTTGGGACTGCTCGACTGTTTTAGTTGGCACTGCGCTGTTTGTTCAAGCCACTCGATTGCCTTTTTTAGTTGAGTTTTATGCTGAGTATTGTAATTTTTAATGCGCCTCACAACTCTACACACACACACACACACACACCCACACACAGACACACACACATACATACTTATAACTGGCGTATCGATTGTGAGCTGACGTAGAACAAAGAACAATGCTGATAGAAAATTCCTTTTGAGTGCCCGGACGTACACTCAAATGACGCTCCATGGGATTCAAATGGCCACAGAGCAAACAACAACCAGCGAGTTCTCTATCTATCTGTATATCTATATATCTATCTATCTGTCTGTTTGTCTGTCTGTCTGTCTGTCTGCCTGCCTGCTTGCCTGTGTCTGTTGGTATGTCTGCCTGTCTGTCTGCTGGTCTATCCAAAACAAATAATCGTTGGCTACTGCTATTCCAAAGGCTTATCATATTGTATCTCTAAGTCTAATTCAAACTGTAGCTTGGTTGTTGCCAATTTGCCTACTTTTGTCGCATTTAAATTTCGTTTATTGCCAACCGGGGAGCTGTTAAATCATCAAGGGCAAAGCTCACCAAATCGGCAAAGAAAACTACTGTCATAAGACAAGAGAAACCCGTTCATGAATATCGATTTATCAATTTATTATCCTTGCCAGTTGATAATGTTTGCTTCATTTATCATGCATAACATAAACTAAACAAATAGGAATAAGATGTTTAAAAGAAATAATTGAAATATATCGATGGGCTTGGTAATTAAGGGAAAGAGATTATTAAACAATGATTGTTTTTCATTGTAGGACATTCAAGTCTTATAAATATATCTGAAAAGTAATAATAATAATAATACTTAGAGCATTGAACTACATATTGACTATTGATTTAATATTGCTAGCATAGCTTTAGCCAACTGTTATATAATAAATTTAAACCGTCAAGAGCAAAAACTAAAGCTGAAAGATTTTCTCAATGTGAAGAGGCAACATTTTCATATATTCATAAAACGATTTGTGTCCATTACGCTTATCCTCTGCTAATCTCTAGTTATGTATTCTCTGCTAAACTGAAAATAAGCCACACAAATTGGGTTTTCGGTTGTTTTTCGTTACCAAAATTGTCGAACCTGCCATCAATGCATCAATCGGTTCAGTTGTAATGAGCTTACAAATATGTCTGAGTGTAAACGAATGAATCTGAATTTGTGAGTGTGTGAATTGTGCCCCAAAGTGTCAAGCTGTGTGGGTGCCTGGATCGGTTTGCAAACCAATTTGATTTAATTGAGATTATGTGCTCCTATTTGTGCAGACTAAATTATATGGGTTCCTGTCTATTGATACCGCACTGTTAACTGCAAATTTAAGTGCACATCGATTGACAAGCAAATGAACTGTGTCTGGCTGTATTCATCTATTGATGAACTGATTCACAACCAGATTACTTGAGAGCTTTTGGTGAGATAATTGCATATAAATACGAGATAAGTGTAAATTAGACAAGAATATGTCAGAGTTTGCTTCTCATTTGATTAAGTGGCATGTGCATATATAGCATCTGTATTTATATACAATATATGTAGATTGGTTAAGGATAGAGAATAAATTTAATTTTATTTTACACACTGTGAATGTTTAACAAGTTTTAGGTAATTTTCCAAAATGTATGAAGCAATAAAGCAACCTTTAATTAAAAATAATCCCAAGGTATGAATATAATTTAATTTGAAGAATCCAGAGCAACACTTATAAGATAATGCACGCAAGGGTTGCTCAAAAACCACACTGTTCACATTCAGGGAGGTGGAAAATACAACGATTATTAATTTGTGAGAGCTCTTAACGGGCGCCGGTGTGCAAAACAGCATTTTGGGAGAAGCTTTCAGGTCTCGTCTGATTATGGATGAGATTGTTAAGCTTAGCTGGGTTCGAATTTGAGATACAATGATCATAGTTTGGAAGAGTACAACTTTGGAAGTTCGATAAACTTTTACGCTTGATTAGAGTTATGACAAATAATCAAATAAAAGTTGATGTGTTTGAAAACCATTCTAGAATATGTTGGCAGACCTTAGAGGCACTGTCTACTGCATGATTGATTATATTTATCTATTTATACTTTTCAAATAAATTGCCAGATGTGTGTTTGCTTATTCCAAATGCGGTATTCGGTATTCGGTATTCTGCTTATACATTTTTCTTACGCGTTTTGTGTATTTGTAGGCCAAGGTCAATCACCACCATCCCCCCGCACCCAATATGTGAATGTCTTGTGGAAGATAGTTCGTTGCATTTACTACTACTATTGACTTGTCCGTCCGTGGATACTCTTATCAGAGTCCGAGTCGATTGCAGTCAAATGATTTTATAATACGCATTTATCATTTATGAAAGTGGGGCGGGAGGGCACTGCGTCATCAGCGAACTTCATTATTGCCAACAGCTAAAACAATAGATTGTTATCAATTTATATTTTGTCGTCATCAACATCATCATCGTTACCATCATCATGGTCGTGTATCTGTGCTCCAGTTTATTTTCATTACGTTAATTCATTTGTAAATATTTTCCTTAACTTTTATAGCCAGCTTCGCTGGCGCTGTTGCTGTTGCTGTTGCTGTTATTGTTGTGGTTTTCACTGCTTTCATTCTTGTTTATATACCGATTTTCCAGCATGCCAACATCCGACTTGCCCTCTTTCGAGAAGTGAATGCAGTGGGGCAAAGGGTTATTTTCTATATATATTTTTTTTTTGGGTGCTCATTTTTATTGGAACTTTTTGTCATTCAGATCGAAACTGGCAATTTGAGCAGCAAATAAAAAAATATCTATCTAATCATGTTTGTGTAGCGCTGCTTAATAATCAATTATATTCGATTATATTAACTTAAATGGATTGATGTCATATGGAAATTTGTGTTGTGAAGGATTCTGTGAAACCTCAAATTATTCTCTATGCTTTTAACCACTGTGTAGTTCTTGGTATTGTTTTATTTGCTGTCTAATGTGTCTGTTTTGTGCATTTTCTGTCCCATCACTTGTCGCGTTGTCTATTTGCACCCCACCACACCCAATGGACCACCCAACCCCCCCTGTTCGACCTTCTGCAATATTAGCTGTTTGTTTTTCTATCGCTTGCGTCTGCAGATCTGCAATTGAATTAAGCGAAATTTTCAATTAATTTCTTGGCCACTGGACGCGTATTGTGTTTTTGGCTTCTTTTTTCCAACGTTTCTGTTACAGTTGGCAGAAATGGATGTGAATAGAAGTGAATGGAAGTGAATAGAAGTGAAAAGAAGTGAATACATTAAGTGCAGGCTCAAGCACGTTGGCCATGGGCTGCGGTAATTTCGACCTGTGGGCGTGGGGCGTGGCAGGTGTGGCACTGATTTATGCAAAGCCGGAAAAATTGAAAAACTCAACCCATTAACCGCGAGATGACGTCAGCAAACACAAAGAGGCGCCAGCCACGCAAAGATTACGATGACAACAAATTGATTGCCTTGAGTTTGTTGTTATAAATTACCCAACCCATAACAACTCTGATTTTCACTCCCAATTATAGTTCCTTCAAACTCGAAACATATTTTAAAATCAACTGAAATGTCTGCCAGCTTTTTTTTTGTTGTTTAATAATCTGTTTTTTCTTTTTCATCTGTTGTTCTTCAAACGAAATTTGTAAAATCCAATCAAAAGTTGCAGGTAAATTGAATATTGAACTGCTGTTAAAGAGAGATTATTTGCAAGAGAGTTAAAACTATTGTTATTTTTGCTAGCTTTGAAATTATACATTTTTGCGTATTCAACAAGTTTTCGATGAGTTAAGAACTGCTAACAGAGCCACAAGTAACTTAGTTTTGTAACTAGGTAACTTCGTAAATAGTTGTAGTTACAGACAGAGTTACGCTCAAGTCGGTTAAAGAGTTGGAAATAATGGATGACGTAATGAGGAGCAGCATTCATAAGAGAATGCCTTCAAGTAAGCATATAGTCGCCTTTTGTTTCGCGTCTGGCGTTGTTATGCATTCCACACAGACACAGCCATTTATTTGACACTTCATTATTGTGCACAAGGTGTCCAAGGAGCCAGGACCAAGACGCAAGGCACAAGGCGCAAGGACTCAGGCAGAAGGCATTGGGACTATGGGCTAACTGCTCGCCGCAGCGGCAACTGTAAAATTAATTTGAAATGTTGACTGGTGGCGCGTCTTGGGGCTGCTTGGGGCTGCTTTGGACTGCTTGGGTGAGTTTTTCTTGCTGGTTTGCTGGCACAAGCTGTTCATCCATTCATTCGGTGGCTAAGAAAATGGAAAATGCATATCTGTGGCAGCGTGTATATATTTCTTGAAGTATTTAAAGCCAAACTTTTGTCTGATAATTCTTTAACAGATGGTTAAAATCTTTTTCGGCTGCAATGAAACTCTAAAATGTGAAGATCAAACAAGTAAAGGAATTGAAAATGGATTGCTTAAAACTATTATGTGGCTTGAATCAATGGAAGTAAATTCCAAATGATTTTCATTCAAGTAAAGAGATGCTGTAAAATACGTTTGCTGTGGCAGCTTAAAGCAAGCTTTTTGTTTGAGCTCGAATAATTCGTTCAGCCGTTTTGCATTTGTAAAAATGTTGTTGGGTTTTGTTCGCTTCCCGAAATCCTTTCATCAGGCCAACAAAACTTGCTACTCCTACCAGCGTTTCCAAGAAGCCTTTCGCAGCTAAGCAGCCAGAAGCCGTTAGCCGACAGCCGACAGCCAGAAGCCTGCTTTTGGGGCAGCATTTCAATTTTGTATTTTTAATTACTGAATGCGGCGACGATACAGCAACACTGACTAATTAACACCAGCGTGGCAAGCTAACAGCATACCAGGCGGATGCTTGGCTGTCTGCCAACACTGCCAAACACTCACTGGTCGCTGAATCTGGCGTGCATATACAAAAACAGAAAAGAAGAAAATTAATATTAATAAACTAATTGTTGGCAGCACAACGCGCTGATAGCAGTCATCGCAAGTATCCTTTGGCCAGCATCTGACTTTCGCCATCATCAATGTTTGTATTCCATGGACCGATTGAAAAATGTATATAAATGGGTATAATGAAGCTGTGTAACAATATGCAACAGTCAGTAAAGAAGTTTATCCGATCAGCGAAAAGTTCTCGTTTGCCATACGCATTTCAAGTTTATTTCATTTTATTGATACACTTCATCATTTCTACGATTACCCACTTGCAATAAGAGTCATCATTTAAGCATATAAGATAACTAACTAAAAATGTATATTCCTTGAAATCATGTTTATCATCTGTACAAATTTCATCGAGTTTTGTTGAGAGTATCACAATTGATCTCGTATATTCATATTTACCAAGTTAGATAGTTGCATTTGCTGTATGCATGTGCAAATACGTGCAAATTCATGCTTATATTCTAGGATATCTTCCAGCCACGCTCTCTAGACTAGAGCATTCTTACTTGATATGCCGATGCTTTTGTTATACATATCTGTATGAGAGGTGACCCAACAGCAACAGCAACAGCCACAACAACAACAGCAATAACAAAGAATAACAAGAACAAATCGCCGCCAACACTAAAAATAACAATTTCCGCTCTAATAAACATTTCCGCTTGGTAGAATTTAACATTTTACAATAAATTAAGTGAGAAGAAATAACCATAAGCGATAATCATATAACCATAAAACAAACACATAGCCATAGATGACACACACACACACACATACACACACACACACTCTGTTTTTTCTGTTTGCTGTCTTTTATTTAGGCAACTTTCTTATCGATCAAATGAAGCTTGTTTGCATGCCGCACATACTCACATATGTTGGCATTTCAAATTGATTTTTCATTGAAAGCCAGAATATTGTGAACTATTTTGTGTTGCACAGCAACTGTTTGAGCCAACCATAAAAAGCACAAATTTAGCATCGTGAAACAGTGGATGATTACTATATAGTTATGTGACCTTAATGAAGAAATCTGTTGCTTAATATAAATAAAAACCAGTAATAATGCTGGAGTAGAATGAGCTCAGCTACCAGATACCCTTAAACAATCTATTTTATAATTTGTATTTTTATTGCACAATTGGATTACACTTGTCTAGCTGCATCGTTGGTTCCGTTATTGAAGGATGAATTAAATTTCGATTAAATATGTTTAACAACCTGACTCGTTGTTGCTATAAGCATATGTGCATATTTGGAAAATATGCGCTGATTCAACTCGATTGGCATATGCAAAACTATAAGTTTACCCTCGAGCTCCCTCTTCGTACATTAACAATTTATGATATGTACTAAAAGTCACCTGACACGTACCGCAATAAGCATAAAACTTCATCATAAAGTTACCTTTTCCATTTATTTTTGAAATACATATTGTGAAATGTGTGCTTAACTTACCCTGCAACCAAATTATGAATAATGAAAATCTTATTAAAAGTAGTGACAATGCATATATATGTATGTATATATATAGATATATAGTATATATACATATATGATATATATATTTGATTGGCTCAAATTGGAGCTTGTATTTAGAGAGTATCTCATGGCAATTACTATCGAGCTGATAATTCAAACTTGTTATTATTTTTGTAGCTTGCTGGCTGATTTGCCAAAATAAAATGGGTCATTAATATTTTGTTCACTCACACACAAACACATACACACACACACACACTCTCTCTCTCTCTCTCTCTCTCATTTAGTTAGCAATGTGACTTTTCCATGTCAGGTGATAGAAGGGGTGGCTGGTAAGGGGCGGGGGGTGGCGCGTGTAAGGCATCTTTAGAAATGCGTCGACTGTCACGTACTTGTTAAATTAAAAACGATTACTTACTCAAATTTGCTGTCGCCTTGTTGCACTTAATTTAAATTGTTATTGTTATTATATCTATATAAAGTCAGCGCCGCCAGTCGGTAGATTCTCAGTTGTTAGCCTGGAAATAGGTGGCCCTCTGGGACTGCTGAGTGTATTTCAATTAAAAGTGTATGCCGCAAGGATGCGCTGCCTGGCGGTTGAGGAGTGGAGAGCGGGAAGTGGGGAAGATTGAGAGCGCGTGGCGCTGACAGCATTGAAAATAATTTTTGCCAAGTAACCGAAACAGCAACAGCAACCGTAATGAAAATGGAAAATGCTTGAAATAATGAAATGAATAAAACTGAATTATAAGCATAACAAATACAAGAAGAAAGTGTATAGAGTAACAAAAGGAAAGGAACCAAACAAAAAAAAAAGACGAAAAACAAAAAACAAAAAAACAAAAAAACGAAAAACAAAAAACGAAATGAGAAATGAGAAATGGAAATGCGTCTACCATAATTTGCGAAAAGGAATTAAGTCAACGAAAAGCCACAGTTTGAATTTAACCAGTCTGTTCTGTGATCCACAAACGCCCCCAAAACACAATCTACACAATTTGTATATAGAACGCAAGCAAAAGCAAGGTGAAAACTTGGCTTTCTCGCCAGTAATAAGTGTATTGACAAATAAGGTGTCTTAAACCAATTTGTTAATTCTCAATAAGCTTAAAAGTATGCTATACAAAGACAGAGAAAAAAGGCAGTTGGAAAGTTTTCTCATACATAAACAAATATATTCAAGTTTTTCTTACATTCCAATGAAAGGCAAACCCAAAAGGGACTTCAAGAGATGAATGTGTGTGTGTGTGTGTGTGTGTGTGTGTGCACCAGTTTTTAATTGAAATGAAAGCGAATGAAAAGTGAATATACATTTACTCATAAGTCGGCTAACAGCTTATGCAAAGGGTTCAGTTTCGTTTCGTTGTCGAATTTGTTTTTGGCTTTCATTTACGGATAATGTTTGAGTAAGGGGAGTCAGGGGAGTCGGGGCGGAAGGCGGAAAGGATTGGATTTGGATTTGGGGACCTGGGAGGGGCATCAGTTGAAGTCTGAGCAGCTTTGATCCGTCGTCACCGTCACCATCGTCATCTTCATGAACGTCACCAGCTAAAGAAATCGCATGACAAGCCGCCATTTTTATGACAGGAAGCGGTAAACTAATATACACAAAAGTTTTTCATTTACATTGTGGTTAATGTTGTTGTTTTTGTTATTGGTATGACGTCACAATAACAAAATAATCCAAGCTCGAACAGCAGATATCCTGTAAAAGTTTTCGCATTCGTTAATGTGATCCTATTTTTTGATTTAGATTGCAAAGAAATATTAATTGCTCTAATTCCAATTACAATTCTGTAAAGCTAAACAATAACATAACTTCAACTGTATTTAAACTTTTATAAATTAACTTTGTTTTTTTGATTTTTTTTTTACCACAAACTTGCACTAGAATCAGCTAATAAATGTTTGTTTTATACAATTACTGGGTATAAACTAGATATAAATAGACTTATGATAAAAGATAAAAGCAACTTGTTTTGTAAACATGGTTATATATTTTCTTATTTTATTATATTCTTTATATACACGTACACGAATCTGTGTGTGTGTATATGTGCAAAAGTAAACACCTTTGTTTGTGTCGCCTTGTATCATTAAGTATACGTCACGCTGTCCCTTGACCTTGGCTAACGTGTTGAAAGTGAAAGTTGAAAGAGAATGTTTTCCAAGTGTTGCTGTAAGAGTGGTTGGCTGGTTGGTGTGTACGTGGAGTGGTTATTGTGTTGCTGGGGTGTACAAGAGGTGTGGTCCTCTACCGTAATTAGCTAATTTTATTTGACTTTAATAACTTTGATGGATATATATTGTGCTCAACTATGCGCATTTATTAAAGCAGCATTATTTTCGCCAGCGCTCAACTTTGATGGATGCCTTATTGATTAGAAACAATTATGCTTGACCAACGCATAAAAGCCACATTGCTTTCCAATTATATCTGCTAGCCCTCAATCAAATTTAAATAGCCGAATGCAACGATCGATTGTGGAGGCCTAATATACAATTGTTTAACCGCTAAGCTTAAGCTCCTTTCAACATAAACGATTTCTGTGTATTCAAAGGGAATCAGAATTGGTTGAGTGAGTGTCGCATCGAATCAAGAATTTCTTTGTTTATTAATCAGAGCAGAAAAACAAAAAGTGAACCAATTTCAACGCTTTGCATTTGTAGTTTTTTTTTCGAAATACATTTACTAAAAGTAGAAATAGACTGTGGATTTTTAATATTAAGTATATTTTCCATATATTTCGAAATTATTTCTAGCAAATAAATTACAATTTTTATTTCTGCAATGATTTCATTTTCGATCTTTTTTATTTTGTCTGAGTGTACACTGACAATTATAGTCATCAAAGCTGTTGGCTTCCCTCAGGATACGGCTGAAGTGCAATCAAACTAACCCTTCTGCTTGCGCTTAATTAAGTGCTTTGACCAGTTATGGGAGTCAAGTAAAGCCAATAAACGGTAATTCACATATAGTGCAACCCTCGCTTGAGTTAACCGCTCCTCGCATCTCAATTTCCGGTCAAGCCAATCGTCATAAATT